GTTTAACCCTGAGTTGAGGAAAACAACATGAGAAAAGGTCACAGAAAGGGCGATGCAACTTTTTATGCCCACGTCTTTATTAAATCACATTCATGATCGCAAAATACCAGCGCTTCAGTATAAAAAGAAACCTGGCAGTTCCGATCTTATATGTCTCGTATAATTATGTGTATACTATGCACTAATATTATTAATTAAAATAATATTCATTTTACTATTAATTATATACGTAATTATACATTATGTATTATCATGAATTTTTATCATGCACTTCTTTACACCAGACGCAGATCATTAGAGGCAAAATATATATATATATCCCTTTCGTCTCGCGTATTTTCTTATACCTTAACAACTACAGTAACCCAGCTAATTTAAGAACTAGAAACCTGAATCCCTTAGACAATTAGATAACTAATATTAAAAACAAATCGAACCGAAAGCCTTTTAGGAAATTAAACAAGCCATGTGGTAATGATTGTTCTTAGTATCTCCGGTTTTCTACAAATTCATATTTTGTTAGTATAAAACGAGCTTGAGAAATTACATTCGCACAAAAACAGAGTAGTTTTTATTACTTTTATAGTTATTTTAGTAGAGCAATGTAAAGAACAAATTATTACGCTAATACGAGAAACTTCAAGCTTCGAATATTTTTTTAATAGTACGACGCTTTTCACTTCTTTCCTTTGTGTTCATTTTATTTACTAATGTAAAGACTGGGTACAATACATACAACTTTTCAATACATACAAAAATCAGCAAGTATTTATTTATTACCTTTCTGTTCTTATAATTAAAAAAGAAAATGATTGAATTGAGAAAGAATAGTCTGGTGACATGAGTGAATATACTCTACTCAAACAGCGAAAACTACAGAACTGCGCAATTCAAAAACACGTGGAATTTGCTTATATAAGTAGAAACATTATCCAGGTTTTTTGAACATGTAGAATTCAAAAGGAAACTGGTTTATCGGGAGCGGGAACAGAGATAGGCACAGGGGATATGTAACTATTTGTTGTCTTTTATACGTTTGGAAAAACCCGTTTAAACCGAGTCGTGAGATGAATATTTATTTAGTAATAAATATTTTAGCCCGGTTGATCGGCAAAATGTAGGCTTTTCATGAGTGTATGTATGAATGTTTTAGTCTATAGCATTAACTATTTGATTTACTATTTATCTGTAAAATATATATTTTGTTGATTATACAAAAATAGGTTTTCCTATAGTGAGAAGGAATTAATTTCGATTATCTTGTATTCTATTAACTAGCGATATTTAAAATGTAAGAATAAGAGTATGAAAACAGAGCTGCATAGAGACTATCCAAAGGTTGTCTGTAATAAAAAAATCGCAGACTGCGATAAGCCTGATAACATAACTACTGAATGTTCTCTCTAAATATCATTTACCTTGTCTTAAGTAAAGTAAAAGATAATTTTAAGGCCATTAATAATTATATCTACCTGCATATATACCTTCTTTTCTTTGTTAATGTTGATACTTACGATGTTAAACTTAAAATACTTGCCTATGATATAATTTCAGTAATGTGTTGTGAATTATAACAGTACAATATAAAACATTCGTATTTGAACAACTGTGCCAGTGTATTTATCTAGTTATTGAAATAATATTTGCGTAAACGGGCCATACAATGTGTCGACCTTCGCACAAACATTGTAGTTCGGCATTTTTAGCGTACTCTTTACTAACATTCAGCTATATTTCATAATGTTTTATGTAATAAAAACAAAGAACATTTTAAAAACTTAAAAACACTGAAATTGTATAAACGATTCTAAACTCAAGCTGAAAAAGCGCACTAACGGAAACGAAAGTATCTACCCGTTAATGCGTTTTTTAATCATTGTTAGAACTATATTTTATAGCTACAAACTATATTTTTAACGGACTTCAAAAAAAAGAAGAGGTTTTATATTCGGTTGTACTTTTTTAAATACTTTTATCACAAAAATTTATGAAATGTTCTGAAAAATCTTTTTTTATTCAAAAGGGTATGCCCGGTTGGATCCATTCGAACTCGAAAATAATACCACCACCAAGGACGAAGATTAAGCGCATTAAAGACGGATGAATGAATCGGTGATATTTTTTAAAAGCTAATCATTCTCTAGGATCTACTATGTAGGACTAAACTATGATTCAGCTATCATTCAGATTCATTGCAGATGTTTATATTATGCACAAATTGTCTCCGGAACAACGAAGTCATTGTCACATAATACATACCTATATACGCTATGATTAAAATGGATGAGCTAACATAATTAATCATCAAATATTATAATATTTTTTATTATTATGATGAGTGTTACCTGCGGTTTGACTTCTGCTTGATGAAAGCAATTACAGTCAATAATATAGTATACGGTGAAAAGATTATAAATTTGATTTTAATTATATTTATAAAGTAAATCGAATGCACTCTTAGTGCAGTTAGTAATTACTTTTTCACACTTCACAGATAAAACCACGATTAACGTGACATGACGATTCATATTTAATAGACATAATTGATTATACTGGTGGGGAAATAAACTCATGTTATAATATGTATGAACTTGTGTAGAAAAGAAGATAATGCATTATGCGGCTGTGCATCCTACAAAATGTTGACCTTTGCCTGTAAAAAATCTTATCACGTTCATGCTCCTTGCGACACGTTGATTAGAATACTAAATATTAAGTGTCAATCACACCGAACGCTTGTCTAAACACATTTGTCCAAGCGAGCCCATTGCATCAACGAGGCCTATGAATGGGGTCAATAGAGAAGTACTGTTATTGACTATTTAGGGCGCTATTCGAGCACATCGGTTATTTAAATACGTATAAATTGAGTATAGTCAATGCGTAGGAATGCAGTTTATGATTTAGTTTACTACATAACATTCTCATTTCTAGCATACAGGAACCCATTATTATTAAGTGAATAAAAAATCTTTTGTGGTATGTGAGCAACTTTGCACACAGAGCTTGTAGTTTAACTGTCTAACATTCGACAATTAAACATGTCACATTATAGCATATTTATATATATATATATATATATATATATATATATATATATATATGTATATATATGCATATACGCTATAATGTTACATGTTTTATCACGCAAATCCACTAATGTAATGTCAATGGCCCTCAAAAAGACTACAGACTACAATCAAATGCGGTGAATTTCTGAGAGAAAATTTAGTCCTTAAACCAGTTCGTACCTGCAATGTGCTTTCATTCTAAGAGTCTGATAATTTTTATTAGCCTGAACGCACTTTACCCTACATGAGGAGTAAATAAATTATATAATGACATCAAGTTGAGTTCGAAACTTAATCCACGTTTACCTAACACAAGTTGTTCCACAGGTATTCAAAAATCATGTTCATTAACCCATGTCGAAAATAGCTATACTCGTCCGACCACTTCGCTACATGACAATTATGGTGGTTATATTAATCATGCTAATTTGGCCTTTACTCAACGGTAATACAGTTCCTTGACATTGGCATAACACGTTACGACTAACATCAACTGCTATTTTATGCGTGCTTCTAATACCTAAGTTACACAAGACCGTAACTTAGCTATTACGCTTTCTTGAATGCATTCAAATAGATTTTAATCTAATCGTACGTGACGACCGGTATGTACTGGACTTGTATCAGTCACGACGACCGGATGGTGTAGTGGTTTGTGTAACGGACTGCTATTCCAAAGATCGCGGGTTCGATTCCCGCTCAAGTCAAACATTTGTGTGCATGAACATTTAATGTTTGATTTGGTCTGGGTGTTTCTATGTATAATATGTATGTATTTACAAAAAAAAAGTATTTATGTATTTATATCAGTTGTCTAGTAACCATAGTACAAGCTCTGCTTAGTTTGAGGCTAGATGGCGTTGTGTGAATGTGGTAGAATATTATTATTATTATTACTGATAGGTACTTTGTAGATGATTGCTATAACGCTTGAAGAGTTTATTTTTCAATTAAAGCTCATGAAATAAATAACAGTTAATTAATCTAACAGGAAGTTTCTGTCCATAATTGCGTTATCTCCTGCAGTGCAGTGCTATTGTAAATACTCGTACATTAGCTGTAAAATTTACATTGACTAAACTTTTTGAAAGTAGGCTGCAGAGGAATTGCATTGTAAACATTTACGGCTAAATTTCTCTTTACAATTGCACAATTCGTCAAATACGTCACAAGATTTATTAGTTTAATAATTACATTTTTATACTGCTTTTACGCAACAGTAAAAAAGAAGCATGATAGTAAATTTTTATTTTAATCATTTTCATTATGAAAATAAAAAAGTAACAAAAACCCGTTATATTTAATAATTATTTTAACGTAAATGACTGTATTGGTTCATAAACTTTTAGTAATCCTTTGTTTTTCCAAAGTGTTGTTTATCATATATAAGAATTTATGTATGTAATCTGCTTAGTACACCAAATTTTTGCCTTTGTGCATATTCATCAAATGTTTATATGATGCTTTCATTATGCTAAGTGCTACAATTAGAGTGTACTTTGCAACGAGAATCGTGCAGACAAACGACCTCATTAGACAAGTAAAAGTAAAATGATACTTGCACGAGCGGCCCAAGTCGGTTACTTGCGTCCGCATTTTTATTTTTGCAGGACCCCATAATTTTGCAGAACACGTATTTCAGATTAATAGATTGTATATTTAAAAAATACAGATCTAATAAGCTAAGCCGAGGATCAAAGAAACTGATAACTGTTTCGATTTGATGAGGTGGACATAATCAAGGATAAAAAGTATTTGTTTTTTCAATAAATTACAGCAGTCAATGAGGTCAGACGGATCTGTATCTAATTTTATTCTTCTAAGTTTTTGAACAGCTAATCTAACTAGCAGCTTAAATATAATGCGTTTGACAGATCACTTGCAACAATAACACAATAAAAAACCATAATATAATGACTAACTACTTACAACTCAGCCTGGTCGCTTGAAAGTCCACTATCAGAGCAAGAGCTGCTGATTGCTTCTGAAGGTTGCGACACGTTGTCACATAGTGTGAAGTCCGGCATTGCTTCCTCGAGAAAGTTGAGGGAGCCTTCCTCCAAGGAGAATATGTTCTCCAGCAAGTCATCGGACGTCGGCCAAGCGTCCGACTGAAAAGAAATCCCTTCTTAAACAGGATGTCGTAATTTGACATTAAAATTTAGAGCTTATGTTCTCAAAAGAGATGTAGCTTGGCAGGTTCGTAACCAGCCGCAGGTCAGTATAGATTATCCTAAAAGCTCACATAACAGAGGAGATTAACTATATTCAATTTTATTGGAAATCACTCCAAATATAATAGCAAAATCTTAAAAAGTTTGAGTTATGAATCTTTCATGACATTGATATTTAGCTGTAAGGGATTCTTTATTACTTTTAATTCTAAGATATTGTTAGCAACACAAAAAGCAACATAAAAATCTTTATATATATAATTCTTCTGTGAGTGTGTATGTCACTGAACTTCTCTCAAACGACTGGACCGATTTTGATGAAATTTTTTGTGTGTGTTCAAGGGGATCTGGGAATGGTTTAGATTCACAATTTTGTCCGCTGGACAATGTTTTTTTAATTAATTTTTAATTTATTAGTAGTTGTTGATTTTGGAATGTTTTACATTGGATCAGACAGACGGCGCTACCATCGCAGTGTCAAATTTGACAGGACAACGTCTGTCGGGTCCGCTAGTATAAATATATTTTTAAAACAACTTAAATACAAAATAAATACTTAAATCTTAATCATTGTGTCCTGTGTTTTATTTAAATGATTACTATTTTTAGGACCATTACTTCCAAAAAAAATAATTATATTTTTACAGGATAGTATGTGGGTACTATCCTGTAACAATTTATCCTGTACAATTTGGTGGTGCCACCACCACCCTCAGCTAAATTGGGAGGAAATGCCTGAGAAATTCAGTCCGTTATTGTGCAATTTCATTTATGTAAAGATGTGAAGTGTAGAAGATTTAATAAATAAAATAATATTCATACTATATATAGCCTAGCCTATACCTGCACTAATAGTATAGTTTGTTCTCAACTTTGACAATATCTAGAAAAGTGGTGTTGCTATGCTCACTACACAAATAGCAAGTACATTATAATTATATACTGAGTTCCTAAAAGTTATCATAAGCTATTTAAAGTATACTAACACATTCAAGTTGTTGGTTAATGATTATTATATTATTTGGAATTGTTTTGCATATAGTTTGGTTAAATTATTAGTCACAACTAAAAGTTAATTGCAACTTTTATAATACTTTACTGTTCTATAACTTTTTACATAATGTTCCTAACATCAATAATATATTAAATATTATCTATCTTCAAAATAATTTCTTAAATCACTAACATAAAAAAAGTTTCTTTAAGAAAACAACATTCCTTCTTTTTTATAGTTATTTTATAATCATATATCAGTGCAAAAAAAAAACATATTCTATGTTAAAATATATAACATAAAACGAAACAGCAGCAGCAGAAAAATAAAAAAAAACATGTCATATTGTTTATTCTACCAATAATTGTAAAGGCAGAAATAAATAGGGTAAGTAATGCATAAGAGACTGCTAACATTGAAACTATACCCACTGAAATTTTATTCCCATAATCCACTTATAACATTCATTATGGGCAAATACAGCTATTTATCCTGGCCAGTAATATGGTAAATCACTTCTCTTGTTTACTGTTATGAGTTTCTAAACAGGAAAAACTATTGTCAACTACAACTCTCAATATATGTGTATTCATATTCCTTGTGGTGGTGGGTAAAGAATATGAGTGTCACTATCCCTATTCATCCCGTGGGTGTCCTAAGAGCTGACTAAGCAAACTTACTGCAATGAAAAGGAAAACTTGACACAAACCCTATACCAACCTATCTGGCCAGCGTGGCATAGAAGGCCTTAACCTCCTTTGTAAGGAGAGGCCTATGTCCAGCAGTGGACTGTTTCAGGCTGTTGATGTGATGATGGGACGTGAAATCTTATTCTCTTAAGTTGTTTTCTACCAGTTTCAGTAATCAAATTCCAATAAGATTCAAATTGCATTTTAGTTTTGTTAGTTTCTTATTCTCGTTAGAACATCATATGCATTTTAATGATAATGATTACTTATTAGTCAATGACAAAGTATTTTATTTGAAATAGGTTACTAATTGATTAAAGCTTTGCAAAAGTTAAGAAAATATTGAGCAGGTCACTTGAGATATTACTTTCATTTTCTGTATTCATCTGAGTATCACTTCAGTGAAAGGAGATTCATTATAATCCAACAATCTTACATATTTTTAATTGTTCATTTTTTAAATAGACTATGAGATATGTCTCAGATTTTATTACACTGTTTTTATTTCCTACTTTTATACTCTTTATCACTGATAGCAGTCAGCACAGGTAGTAACTATTGATAACAATTTATATAATAATAATAAGTAGGACAAACAGCATTAACAATAGTATTTATGATAACAATAATGCTGTTGATAACTACCCTCATTAAAGTGGAACGCTAAAAAATATTTATTTGTCTGGAATATGTATAATTGTAATAAAATATTTAAAATTACCTCAAATAAAGACATGAGATCTAATTTTTTATCCATTGTTAACACTTCACCTGGATAGGTATTACATCAACACTTAAAACATTGGTATATCACAATAAACTTCTCAATTATAAGGAAAAACACCTTCGGGTGGGTCTAAAACACTTGTACGTTCACACTGTTACTTCCATCCAAAGAGGATAGTTCAGATTTACTGTTTACTGATGAATTTTTAATATTCTACAGTTCGGCATATGGCTATGATAGCAACCGCATGGTGCCTAGCTGGCAAATTACAACTTGTTTACGCTATGCGCTGCCGGCGCGCCGCCGACTTGTGACGCACTGTCCTCTTAATGATTACAACACGAAAACACGCTCGTTAGGGGGAAACCCTATTCCTAATAACAGGGAATTATCTAATTAGAAAAAACGAAGGAATGCAAAGAAGTCCGCGAGTGAACTACGTCCGTTCACGAAACGAAATGAACGTATAACGGTAAAAGTGGGAGCGTGAGTTCACGAAAGCTGTTTAACGAGGTTCGACAATCGCCGAACGATCACTATTACTTCACGGCATGTGTATCGCACTGCTCGCATAGTAATCCGAGTGCTCTGCTACATGACAGTAACATTGCGTATTACTATACCTTATCAGTAGATTAGTTGGCAAGTAAGATACGAACCATTAAGCCGTCCTGTTGGAATGTATCCATTTTCTCGGTCTTTTGATTTAGGTGAAGAATTCCCTGATCATTTTCTATACAATAATCCAGAATAGAGTTCATATCGTCATTGCGGGCAGTCATTTTCTTCTGACAAGGTCCAGGTTGAGGTCATTGTAGATCAACTGTTCCACATTTAGCAGCACATTTTATTTAAATACACATACAGCAATAAATGAGCTTATAACATGTTTGTTATTTAAAATTTACAAACATTAGTTTACAAAATAAAAAAAGGGGCATGACATGTCCCAACAACTTCCAACGTGGAAATAATGACGTCATGAAAGTGGGACACTTTTGGGACACTTTTCACGTTTTCATTGGTTGCCCATTACAATAAAACAGTTCAAACATGTGCTGCCATCTATGTTAACAAAAAAGTACTATGTTCGGCGTTATGTTTATGCTGTTGCTTGCTGTCATTTTTCCAAAGAATAAAAAATATAGGGAATCGAGAAAAAATTGACCTAGTCTTTGTATTCAAAATGTTCTTGTTTATATTTACCTATCAACTGTGATAATCTGGATTATGCATTACAAAAAACACTGCCTAGTCCATAATCCTTGCCATAACTTTTCAACCTGTAGGTAAGGTAAAAGTAACTATAAAAACTTTATGTTTTGTTTTTTGTTTAAATGAAAATAATAACAATTTATAAAAATGAGGATGAGATTTTTGAACAAAGATTTCAATCAAAACTAAAATTTGCATTGGAAGATTTCGCTAGCTTAAAAAAATCGTGTTCAATGAAGCAATTGAACTAAGTCGTACCCAAAAAACATTTTCACGAGGATTTCGTGAAAATTCCAAGCCACAATGTCACCAAACATCATCGAACCCGCCGTATTTAGCGATTTTATAAACAGGACAAAGAACGCTGCAAATAAATTTCTTATAAGAATACAATTTTACTACCTATATTTTTTATGGTTTGGTGCACGGAGAGATGCCTGCGAATGTAACGAGACACCTTACTACATACCTTACTACATAGCGAGTGTAACTTATAGTGTAGGCAATATATATTAGGTTGGAGGTTTTAACACGAGATATGGGTAAAAGACCGAATTTAAATCTTTTAGTGGGATTAAACCGGCTTAAAACCCACTTATTCTCTCTCACAGGGTTTTTATTGCTGTGTTTATTGATTTCATTGTTTTTTTTTTCGATGAATTTTACTGGGTATGTACTCTTTTCTACTCTCATATCTATTTGTTAAATTCTTATTGTCTGAAACAGGCTATAGCGGACTGACTATAAAGCAAAGAAATGCTTCTGGAACAAACACTGCCGTTGCTTGCGGGAATTTGAATCAATTGTGTGGTGATAGGTATATGTAGTTCTACAAAATTAAGTAAAGTGTCATTGAGAATTCTGACGGCACCATGTACATCTGCAGCCACAGAACGCATATTTAGCGCTCAAGCTCACATACCTACATAATGTAAAACAGAATAGTCTTACTGTTGAAAGGTTGCTAAAATAACGTTTATTTCATTTAATTGGAATATATTAAATAAGAATATATTAAATAAATGCATAAGCACCGATGAACAGGTCAGTGAGAGAACTCTTCAGTGAAGTTCATCGGTCAGAATTGACGTTCATCATCTCAATGTACCTATAGCAACAACACGAGAACATGAATTAGAATGCCTCCGTCCACTAGGATCTCCTGCTTAAATCCCCTGGAGGATTTATTTGGATTTTTTCTCCACGCCGATCCCCTAGGGGATGTGTTTAGAATGCTTATCCATTTTAATCCCCAAGGGTATTTATTTGATAGGTTTTGTAAACAAAAAGTCCACTAGGATACCCTTTTTTTTTTTTTTTTTTTCCGTGCGGAAATCCCCTCGGATACCACCTGTCGGTGGCATGTCGGACTCGAACCGACTAAAACCGCACGCCGTCTCGGGTACTAATAGCCGGGGAACCAGGTATACCCTAGAAAGGAAGTCCCTGGTGCCCCGACATACCTCGGGTCATCTACAGACGAGTAGACGACCCCCCCCCAACGTGTGGGAACCCCATGTTCCCTGTGCTCCCTGGAAGCGAGCGCGCTTCGCAACGCGCTCGCCGCCACCCCGGCCTGCTTCTGCTAGGGTGACAGATGGCCTCACCTGTCACCCCCAGGCCTGTGCTTATGGAGGACGGAGGTCGTTCTGCGACCTCCGGCGCCTGAATCGGTACCAATTGGAACGCACCAAGTCTCATTTTGTAGATGTTTTTAATATCTACAACTTTATGATAAAAATTTCTTCGTAAAATATCTAATTATTAAATATTGCTGAAAAACTACCTTTTTGCAACTTTAACATCAAATTACAAAATAATGGCTTTTCAGCTGTTGCATTTTAGTTATATTATGTACCGAGAGGAACTAAAATAGGTCGAAATATTGGTTGGCATTTTTTTTTTCAAACGTCTATCTAATCAACTCCTTTTCCTGGTCTAATTGTGACTAATTTACATATTGCATGTTCATTTTATACAATAATTTGTATGTAGGTACTTATTTGTTTTATTTAATAAAATAAAACCCATCGTCAGAACAGGATTATGAAATACTCTGCATATAATATATATCCTTTCTAATAAAACATCTCTATTCGGTTCCTAAACGATAGAGTTCCTTCCGAGACCAAAGATGCGCTCCATGGCCCTTTATTTGGCCCCAATATGGGCGGGGGCCCTGATAGCCAGCAACTTCGCGCTACTACGATGACCACAGCGAATGCCATCAGGGTCATGAGGGGGCACCGCAAGATATCCTTTGCTAGCATCTCCTTTTGATTGCAATGAAGGTATTTCTCTTCTTTGCTCCATGTCCCCGACAGTGTAAGGCTATCGAGTTGAGTGCCCCACGTTGGATCTGATGCATCTATAGTCAAGAAGTGTGTCGGCATTGGGTGGTGAATAAGAAAGGTGCGGCGACAATTTTGTCACCACCAATTGAGTTCTACTTTCACTTGTATGGGTAGTATGTATGTAGAGTTACATTCACAGAGTTTTCTTTTTCTTTCTGATTCAGGAATACGAGTGTATCCCGAAAGTGAAGTCTGCCCTTAGGTACGGCGACACTGGCAAAGTTTAGTAAGCCTACAAAACTTTGTAGTTCTTTTAAAGTCACCATATGCTTGTGTATAAGGTAAAAGGTTCGACACGCTTTCTTTTATTTTTGAGATGTTTTCGTGTGCTGATGATCTCGTTCAGCCATGGCCATGTTTCATTTGATACCCAGAAAAATCAAGCTTTTGCACGGGAGTATGACAGATCTCTGATAATTTATTCACCAACCCAGGCAGGTTAGACGATTTAATACTATTTGTATATGTTCTTATAACGCGCGATAGCTTTATGCGCTACCAGAAAATTGTCGAGGTAGACTAGTATCCGTATACCTTCGTAAGACACGAATGTATACGGATACTAGTCTACCAGTCTAGAGTCTCGGCTACCCAATTCGTTAACATCGCAAAAAATCTGGGTGCTGTACTGAGGCCGAAGGAAAGGCACGTCATTCGAAACAGTTCCCCTTTCTTTATGAACCTGGGGCATCGTCTGTAAGATCGAGCTATGGGCAGGTTGAAATAGGCCTGGGAGAGGTCTCCCAGACTTTCAGAGTGATGATGACAGATGAGTTTGAACGATTTTGTGTAAACGAATTCGTTCAGATTCTTTATGTTGAAAATGGGCTGAGCAGAAAGTTGAAGCTATTGTATTACGCAGACCTCTATATAGAATGATTAAACTCCAAAGAAAATTTAAGAACCAAAGAAAAAGAGGGTATTTTACATATCATACACGTTACTATAACTTCTAAATGGGGCTTAAGTCTAACGGTAACACCGTTTAAATGACTTAAATACTTCGCCCACTGTAGCAGCGCACATTATTAAAAATAAGTAAGTACTCACGGTTTTATTCGATGCGGGTATATGTGTATCACACACTCTCAATATTAATTTTTAAATGTAATTTTAATATGCTAGTGACTAGCACTACTGTTATCAATATGATTTATTAATTAAATATCTATGTTTTATATATTTATTTAATGAAGATTCTGCAACATCGAGCAGCCAATTAATTGTAAAACTCTAGTTTTTTTTTGTAGTTTTTAGGGTGATAATAATTAAAAACCGGCCATTTCGGTTTAAACCCGTTTATGCACAAACCGGTTCAAATCAATTTTAACCCAATGCTCCTTCTCATCTATAACGCGACCCACGGTTTTAGCGTCACCCGACTACTTACTTTTTGAGGTCCCTCATAAAAATATGTACATGTTTTTCCTATTTTATTATATTTGCTTATGCGTCAGGTTGAAGAGACGGGTCTATAAAACCATCATTAGGCCTGAATTTTTGAATGGCTGTGAGGCGTGGCCATTATTGGGGCGACACAGGCAGGAGCTGCATGTCCCGGAGATGAATATGTTGCAGTGGAAATGTGGAGTCACGTGGTAGAACGCTCGCATACGTGGTAGTCTTCGTGTCCGTGAAGAGTGTCGCCTCCTGTGGTATGGCCACGTCTTGAACAGATGCCTGGCCATGCCGCCTCCGGCACGGCTAAAGTTGAAAAGAATAATTAAAGAAGACAGTGCTGATTTCTAAAATAACACTTACATAGACTAAAATATACATGGATTATCACAATAATTTAGGATCTAAAGCCATAACATTTTTGCCATACCTAATACAAACATTACAGTTGTCTTTAACATCATACAGTCTACTTATGTCTACATAAGGAGGTGAAACTAGTTATAGTAAGGCTTAATAACATCGTGTAATCATCTTCTGAGTAACACAAAATGAAAATTATTCTCGTTAAAAACCCCATGGTCAAATGAATTCTTTACAATATTTTTTAGTTGCTAAGACTACGAGTAAGAGGTCCTAGTGGTTTGACCCAGTGGTTTTTTAATTGGCATGACTGATCACTTGTAGTTTTGCTTGCTTTGCAATTTATGACTGTTTTAAACTATTTGACTAGAGCTATTTCAGAGAAAAGAAATAAAGCGCCTGCACAAAATTACTTAGCAATGATTTTTATTTCATACATACGATACGATAAC